CCCCCCCCCCCCCCCACCCCGCGCGCGCGTTGCGTTCATTCACCGGCAAGCATGGACTGCACAGCTCCCAGGGGGGAAACCTTCCTCTCCCGCCTGCTTCTCCTGACTCAAATAGGTAAGAAATATCTCATTTTTTTCCTCTCTATTCCAAACGAGCGATGGATGAGAGCGAAGGTCCAAAAACGGGTTGGATTGATTTAAGGCGACCTGTCCAACCCACGGGCACGGAGTCGCGCGGGCTCACTTGGAAGTCTGTGTCAGAACACCTGCATTTAAAGATGCGGGGTGCTAGAAAACCCCCAGAGATACCCCCAGACCGGAGCTTTTTCGCGCACTCCGATTTAGTTTCGGTGGAATCCCACGCAGCGCTACGCACGGTTCTTTAAGACCAGCCTGCCTCAAACTGTGTGTCAGGATGTCAGCTGAAGAGTGAATGCAATGTTTTTACAATGGCCATGTGCTGTCTGTTTGTTTTTGTTGGATTTTGTGCGCAATCAGCTCCCGCTGGAGTAAAAAAACTCGTTTTGCGAAAGGCTCAGTTACTCCTTGTCTTTAAATGATACAAAAAACCCTGAAGATGAACCAGTCAGTCTTCACTGTGGTGCAGATATAGGCTAAGGAAATAGCTGAAATGACTATTTTTTATGTTTTCTGCTTAATCTGAGTGTTGGGTCAGCCTTACATTTGGAGCTTTTTCAGAAATAAAGCCACTAAAAAATGGGGAGATGTCAATATTCCGGTTCCCTCTTGTAGAAAGAGAGCATGGCTGGGTTTGAGTAACAGGTGGGGATGCGAAACAGAGGAAACCATCCTCGTTTCTATTGTGTCTGGGTGCTATTTTTTTCCCAAAAGCATGAAACTCAGTCAAGCAACGGAGATAAAAAAAAGGAAATCAGCACAGGGCTGGAGCTGTCGGATTCAGTTTGTGAGCTCAGATTCCTTAATGGGATGTTGACTCGTCTAATTTAAACAATTTAAACATGAAGAGTCCAGTAGAACCAGGTCTGGTGTTGAGAGGAATCCACTGTCACATCGTTGAGTCGATAAAAAAATGAGCTATATCTAGTTTTCATTGGCCAAATATTTTAGCCACCACATGTAAAAGTGTTAAGGATGTAAATTTCAGAAAGATTTTAAACCAATGGCGTGTCCATCATCAGTTAGTTTTCCATTCCATTTCATCCTTTTAAAACCCTCTCCAGAACTAAGCAGTCTACAGCTTTGCCTGAAAATTAGACTTCACCTTTAAAAATCCAAAGAGCAGCCTGACACGTCTAGCAGCCATATTTAATTACTTTTTTTTGGTGCTTTATTAATCTTTATGAGATTCCATACTCAGAAGCTGACATCCGATGGATTTTCCCATGGATTTCAGACCCTGAGTCTCAAACCTTCCCATTTGATGAGATTTTTTTTTTTGCGATCAGATTAACTCGGATGAGCCAAGAGAATTTTTTTTCCTTTTTTTTTTTTTCCGAGATGAATGTTGTACAAAAATAAACATGTCGGGGATAGATGGGGGTCAGCGAGTGCTATCGTTGCTTAAATCCCCTCTCACTTGGGATGACCGATGCATAGAGTTTCCAGAAAATGAAGTGTTGCATTTCCCCCCACATTAATTCCTTTGGGATTTAATACCTTCCTCCACCTGCTGTCACTCAGGGGGAGAAGCTATTCCTTACTTAATCGGGGATCCTTTGAGACGAGGAGATCTCCAGAACTCTCCTTTCGGGATCGGTTTCCGCTCAACTCTCTGTTCCTGCCTTCGTCTTGGTGCTAATGGGAGCAACTATTAGGACACGCTCATGAACTGTGCTATCTTTAGCCTTCTCACTTCCCTTCAAATGTTTATTCTAATGTGTTACATCTTGAAAAAGTAGAACAACTTATGGATATGAACATCATCATTGTGTCTCAGAATGCCTTCATGGGACTAAACAAGACATACACGTTATGTTTAACTTCTTCACTTGCTCTTTTTTGAAGCCACTCTCATATGAACCATGTGATTCTGTGGTTGAGCTCATCCTGGCTTTATTTCCTGTGTCCAGCCTACTGCTGACCAGTAGTCCTTGTTGAGCCATATGCCTTTCAGCATGGTTCCTTCCTTACGGCGTACATCTCAGTGGCGTATCTTCTCTATAGCTAAGCAGGAATATGGCTCGTGTAAAAATAACGTCGAAAGTCAAAGCCGCGGCGTCCTCCGCATCCCGGCGGTTAGAGATTTGAAACTAATCTGCTTCAGCTCAGCTGGTTGTTGGGTCTGTGCTCCCAGCAGACTCCAGTCGTTGCCTCATTCCACTCAGCTTTCACAGCACGACTCCATCTAAAGCTTTCTTCCCATAAACGCTTGTATTTTACCAATTGA